GTAAGGCCAGGCCAGGCCGGCCGCTGCGGGGCGCGGCGTCCGGAGGCGCGCTCGGTTCCCCCGTCCGACCGGCTGCCCGGCCCGGGAACCGCCCGCGTCCCGCTGCGCGGGGGCTGCCTGGGCCGGCCGGGGACGGTGGGGCTCGTGGTCCAACAGGTCGGGGCGGCCCCGCGCCCCTGCCGGAGCCCTCGGGGTCGCTCGCTGGCTGGTCGGCGCCGGGCCGGGAAGCCGCTTGGCGGGCCGCGTCCTCCAGCTTAGCCGGGGCCCCCGTGATGTTGCGCTGCAGTTCCCACATGCGGGGAAGCCCGGGACCCGTGTCGCGGCCGAGAGGTCCTGGCCTGTGGCAGCGGCGCCCCCCCCCCCGCCGCTCCCGGGAGCCTCACCCGCAGGGCTGCCCTGGGGGTCCCGTGGAGAAGCCCCGTGGCCCGGAGCGGCATCCGGAGACGTGCCTGACGGGGGGGCGGGCGGAGGCCATTCGGCCTGGCCAGCCGCCGTGCTCCCCTTGGCCCAGGGCCCCCCGCATTCCCCTCCCGGCTGCCTTCCCCGGGGCTTGTGGGCTGGCGGGGCCCCCCAGGCCGGGCTCCGCCGACCTTGCGCGACCCCCGGGGCAGCCCTGCCGCAAGGGGCGCCCCCACCCAGGCCGGCCATGGGCTGCGGTCTCCCCCCCCCCCGGCCCACCCCCTCTCTCCCCCAAAGGCAGGCTGTATTCCGCTCAGTGGCTTAACATGCATTTCCAAAGGATGTGGGGACAGGATCCCGGGCACGTTGAGGGAGAAAAACGGCTCCCACCAGAACAGGTGACGGAATGCTGGGACCTGCAAGCCCTTTTCTGTCTGAACAGAGACGAGATTGTGCTTTCAATTAGTACATTCTTTGAAGTGTGTTTTTATTTAGTTTACTTCTGAAGTGGGAAAGAACCATGAGGCAAACTAATGTTGTCCCCATTTCACCCGGATAATATTTTAAGAAGGGTGTGTCTGTGTCTGTATTCAAACCTTTGTCAAAACTGATGCGGCCATTACTGAAGCGGGATTAGACATGTGTTCGCTGGAGTAAAAGGGGCTTCTTTTGTGCATTTGGGGGGCCGTGACAGGGAAAGGAGCCTCCCCAGGAAGGCCTTTTTGAGTTCAGGTGCTACTCGCTGGATGATGTCATTTTGGAGGCTTCTGGGGTACATGGCAGAGGAGACTCCCCCACGAGGAGGGAGCAGCTGCCAGTGGAATGCCCTCCCTCCCTCCCTCCCTCCCAAAATATCTGTCCTACATCCTGATCAACGGCAGAACGAGATTTCTTTGGAGACATTCCTAGAAACGTGCATTCCCTCTCCTCCGTGCCAAACCGGCTTTTCTGTTCCTTTCTTTTCATCGATCCCTTCGTGCATCGCGGCGCAGGCCCTGTTGGCACTCCTGCTCCCCAGCCCGTTGGCCGGCTCTCCTCCAGAGCCCTCCCCTGGCTCTGGCGCCGTGGGCTGCAGAGGTCGCTCATGCCCGCACTGTGCTCAAGGGCCCGAGAGGAGAAGGGCGGGTTGCAAGGGAGGCTTTCAAGAGTGGCCTCCGGAGCGCAGCCCCCCGGCTCTGCGCTGCGTGCGCGGCCGTGGCCGGCTGGAGCTGACCAGTGGCCAGCACGAGGCGTCCAGGCGCCGCTGGCACTCCTGTCCGTTCTCGGGAAGTCCCTGGCAATGACCTCGCCGGGCAGAGAGGCTGCCGAGGTGCCTGGCTGGAGGCCTGCGCGACTCCTCCAGGTTGTGGGACAGGCTTCTCTGCCTCCCGGGGCCCGAGCGGCTGCTGGGAGGCCGGGCTGTGCCTCTGAAGGCAGACCGTGGGGTGGCTCCAAGGCGGGGGCTCCCGGCTTGGCTCAGCTCGCCCTGTCACGCCTCTGGCCTGTTCTCACCTGCCGCTTGTGTGGCTCTGCAGGTCGGCCTGCTATGGAATATGACGAGAAGCTGGCCCGCTTCCGACAGGGCCACCTCAACCCGTTCGACAAGGCCCCGCTGCCAAGCCAGTATGACCAGAAGACTACTGGGACAGGAGGGGTGTTCCCACAGAAAGGTGAGCCGTGTGCTGGCAGGCTGTCGTGAGCGGGGTCCCTCCGCAGCCACAGACCGGTTCCCCTGCAAAGCATTCCTTATGGACCAAGCAGCAGAACCGCCCAGAATCACCCTCTGAGCATGCGCAGAGTGGTGTGTTGACCCCGATCTAGTAACCCCCTCCCGGATCTCTCCCATGAGCATGCCTGGGCCCCGTCCCTGTGGGGGGGGGCTTTGAAAGAGAGCGCGCCTCCTCTCCGCTCGCAGATCCTCTATCCGGGTCGCCCTCTGCTGGCGGCCCGCCATGGGCCCAAGGGCCCGCCTGAGTCGGAGAACTTCGCCTGGCCCCAGACCGCTCCCACCGACCGCTTGCTCCCAGAGACCGCCCCAATTCTCCCGCCGTCGTGCCAGTTGCATGCTAAGCCGCTCCTTTCTTTGCTTAGTGAGCACGGTTGATTGTGCATCTTCTTCTTTGATGCCAATACTATTATTTCTATTTTTATACTGCCCAACAGCTAATGCTGCCCCGATGCTTAACTTGTGAGTTAACTTCGCTCTGAAATGAAATGAAATTCACGATGGCAGAGCGAGGCTCTCGCTGCCCGCCCGCCCGGCTGCCATTTCTTTCTGCCCTCTCTCCTTGTAGACCTGAGGTTTGGGCTGTCCCCGGAGGTGCCTGACTTCCAGTGCACGGAGCGCACGATGGACCTGGGAATGGCGGAAGACCACTTCTCGCGCCCAGTGGTGAGAAGAGCGCTGCGGCCAGAGCTTCTTGCTCTTGCCCCACTGCAGGGGCTCAGGTGGAGGAAGCCCGCTGCCCCAGCTTGCGCCAAATGCTTTGAAGGGCGGTCAGTGAGGTTTTATTCCACTTTATTTCAATTGCACATCCCTAGACGTCTCCACGGGATTAAAAGATCACAGCTGTTCACAGCGAAGTGGGGGAGAGGCCAAAGAGCTCCTATTGCAGCGTGCTGCAAGCAGAACCCGCCTTCTCCGCTCCCCCGGCCCCCGCTGCTCCTCCTTGGATAATAGGTAGCCTTGGATGTGACATAATCATGCCAGACCTTTGGATACGCCCCTGAAGGAGGAGGGGCGTCACTTCCTCCGAGTTACTCCTCATACAGAGGAATTAACTCCCAAGTCAGATCCTGCCAGCCTTCCAGGACCCATCAGGAAGGCATGGAGAGTTATCCTAACAGCTCTCTCCAAGCTTGTTTAATAACTGGATGCTTCCAAAAAGAAAGGACACAGATTGGCACATGATGCTGAGTGCTACCGACACACCTCGTCTCCCTTTATCACAGTAAAGCTACCCCAACCTTCTCCGGCCTTGGAGAAAAACTTTACCACGTGCTCAGGCCACGCACTCACTCCCCAGGCCATCCAGGCGTGCCCCAAGCTCCCCGGCCAGAACCGCAGGGTCGCTCCCCCCCCCACTGCACCCGCGACCCAGGGCCTCTGCGCAGCGCCGTCGGGAGGTGGCCGCAGCTTGACCCGCTCTCGGCACTGGCTCTCCCTCACAGGGCTTGTTCCTGGCGTCCGACGTGGACCAGCTGCAGCAGGCGATCGAGGAGTGCAAGCAGAGGATCCTGGAGCTGCCCGACAACTCGGAGAAGCAGAAGGACGCCGTGGTGCGCCTCATCCACCTGCGCCTGAAACTGCAGGAGCTGAAGGTGCGGAGCCCCCGCGGGGGCCGGCCACAGCGTGGGGATGGACACTTCCGGGCCTCGGTGGCCGGAAAGATGCCAGGGACAGACCGGCTCGGCTTCCCCCTCGCTTTGGCGCCAGGCCACAACCTTGTCGGTGCAACCTGCTGCTCTCCCATCACGCTGGGTGCAGCTCGGGGTCCCGCACTGAGCGAGGGGCCAGACCTGGTGGCCTCCTGGCCCCCCCCCCAACTCTGTTGTCGGGGAGCGCTGCCTTACACCGTCCGACCTACCCAGCGGGGCAGCCCTCTCTGTGTCAGGCAGCTCGAGCTGGGGCGTTGCCTTGTGCGTCGGGAAGCAGCGTGCGAGCTGTGCGGCCACCGGCGCGGTGAGGCGGGGAGCCCGCAAACACCCGTCCCTGTCTGCCTGTCCATGCCGCAGGACCCCAGCGAGGACGAGCCCAACATCCGGGTGATCCTGGAGCACCGCTTCTACAAGGAGAAGAGCAAGAGCGTGAAGCAGGCGTGCGACAAGTGCAGCACGCTCATCTGGGGGCTGCTCCAGACCTGGTACACCTGCACAGGTGGGCAGCCCCTCCCCTCCCGTGGGCGCCGGGCCCGGACGCCTCCGGCAGGCGGCTCCAGGGGCCGGCGGGCTCACGCGCCCTCTCGCCCGTGCAGGCTGCGCCTACCGCTGCCACAGCAAGTGCCTGGGCCTCATCACCAGGCCCTGCGTGCGCTCCAAGGTCAGCCACCAGGCCGAGTACGAGCTCAGCATCTGCCCAGAGACGGGGCTGGACAGCCAGGACTACCGCTGCGCCGAGTGCCGCGTGCCCATTTCTCTCCGTAAGCGAGGGGGCGGGCGCCAGGGCTGCGGGCGGCCACCTGCTGTGCTGCCATGCGGGGCCCCCGAGAGCCGCTCGGGAGCGGGTGTTTGCCCCTGTGCTGGAACTGCCCAGCTGGTGGGGGGCTTAGCCGCCCCGCCGCTCACCCGAGGCTGCGTCCGCGCCCCCCCGCTGCAGGAGGCGTTCCCAGTGAGGCCCGGCAGTGCGACTACACCGGCCTGTACTACTGCAGCAGCTGCCACTGGAACGACCAGGCGGTCATCCCTGCCAGAGTCATCCACAACTGGGACTTCGAGCCGCGCAAGGTATGGGCGAGGTCCCTGCGGCTGGGGAGGAGCCTCGGGGCGTCTTCCCGCGTGGTCCTGTGCGAGCGCCCCCCAACGCGCACTCGGCACGCCAGACGTCCCGGCTGAGCCCCGCGCTGCAGGGCCCTCTGGCCTGAGTGGTGGCGGCGGCCTTCCCCAAACGGCTGGGCTCCAGCAGGGAGGGCCGGCTGAGATGGGGCGCGAGCTCCCGCTTGGGCAAGGTCACCGCTGTGCCCCCTGACCGAGGGTGCCGTTTCCAGGTGTCCCGGTGCAGCATGCGCTACCTTGCGCTGATGGTGTCGCGGCCGGTCCTCAAGCTGCGTGAGATCAACCCGCTCCTCTTCAATTACGTTGAGGAGCTGGTGGAGATCCGAGTGAGTGCTTTTCTTTGTGTGTGTGTCTGTGGGATGGGGGGGAGGGGAGGGCCCGCCTGGCCTGGAAGCCCTCGAGGGAGCAGAGGGTGGAATGGGGTGGCCAATGTGATGTCTGTCCTGCAAAGAGGTTCTGGAGCCCCAGAAAGCAGCTGGGCCTCCTCCCTTCTTGACTGGAAACGGTCAGTTCTTCTTCGCTCCCCACTCGTTTTTCCTTGTGGCATGTCTTCAGTCATAAGCCCGTGGCAAGCAAGTTGTCCTGCGAGGCTTTTTGACTGGGAAGCAGGAGAAAAATACCCCAGACAAATAAGCTTTCCAGCCAACTCTGCCCCGTCTGCTCTCCGCCTCTTCCCCTGCAGAAGCTGCGCCAGGACATCCTCCTCATGAAGCCATACTTCATCACCTGCAAGGAGGCCATGGAGGCCCGGCTGCTGCTCCAGGTCGGGACAGGGTGGCCTGCCAGCCCAGGGAAGCCCTCCCGGGACGGTGGGATGTCCACTGCTGGGCCCCCTTGCACAGCGCCCATCCTGGTGGAACAAGGTGGCCCGAGGACAGCCGGTTCCTGGTGCTGCGGGATGCTCCGACTCCTCTGCTCGGCCTTCTCTCGCCTCTCCCAAAGTTGCCTCCTTCTCTCCCGCACCATTTTACCCCAGTGCAGGGCAGTGAGCAGTTGTGCTTTCTTCTCAGCTGCAGGATCGACAGCACTTTGTAGAAAACGACGAAATGTACGCGCTGCAAGACCTGATCGACGTCCACGCGGGCCGCCTCGGCTGTTCCCTGACGGAGATCCACACCCTCTTTGCCAAGCATATCAAGCTGGACTGTGAGGTTAGGAGAGCAGGAGAGGAGCTGCCTGGTAGGGGGTGGGTGTCGCTGTTGACGCAGGCCCAGGGCAGAGGCCGGCTGCCGGGGGACCCTGCCAGGAGCGCCCCCTCCCCATTTTCTCAGTGGTTGCCCTGATCAGGATGCCCAGAGGAGCCCTGCTGGACTGGGCCAGATGTCCACGGGCCCGATCTGTGGACAGTGATCCTCCAGCCGCCCCGGGAGACTCACCAGCCGAGGCGTGGGAGGCCCCTGTGCTGCCACAGCCCAGCCGCTGGCGTTCTGGGGCACGCTGCCTCAACCCCAAGGTCGCCGGGGGCAGGCCTCTGGCCTGCTCGGGGACAGGCCTCTGCGTGCGCGGTGCCCACAGAGGTGCCTGAGCCTTGCGGGGTGCCACATGCCCCTGCTGCCACCATGGGGCACCCGGAGGCTGGAGCCCCGCCTGCGTGGGGAATGGATCGTGACGCACCTGGTCGGTTCTCTCCTCCCTGCAGCGGTGCCAAGCAAAGGGCTTCGTGTGTGAGCTCTGCAAGGAAGGAGATGTGCTGTTCCCCTTTGACAGCCACACCTCCGTGTGCGTGGAGTGCTCAGCCGTCTTCCACAGGTGAGGCCTGGACTTGCGCACTCCGCCGGGCTCGCTGCGGCCCAGGGGTGCGCAACGCGGGCAGCCGATTCATCGAGGTTGCCGGCAGAAGGAATTTGGCTGCGGGCAACCGGGTGGCTTTGTGGGGACGTGGCTGGGGCAGCCCTGCTCTGCCACTTTGCATGGGCTGCAGGCGAGCCGATCGAGGTCTCCCGTGCAGCTGGGCCTCCTGAAGCCGCGGTGTCTTCTTCCCCAGGGACTGCTATTATGACAACTCCATGACGTGCCCCAAGTGTGTTCGGCTCAGTCTGAGGAAGCAGTCGCTACTCAGGGACCCCAGCCTGGAGCTGCAGGAGTAGAGGCACCTTTGCCAGGCCGGCGGGAGGCAGGAGCACGACGCCCCAGCAAGCCAGGGTCCACCTGCACTTGCCCAAGGGGAGGCTGGCAAGAAGCGGGGCCTTTCACAGGCCGCAGCTGGAACACTTTCTCCGAAGCTGAAAACGGGGCAGCTAGGCAAGGGCTGAACTCGGGCCTCAACTCTTATCTCACCGGAAAGGCAGGCAAGACAGTGCCTCGCCAGCCAAACGTGGCAGCCCCTCCCTTGCCCGGACTTGTGAGGCTGAAGTAAAGAGATGTCAGTCCCTGCAAAACTCTGGCTTTTGGGTGGGAAGAGGACAAGCTCTGGACCCCGAGGCCATCCCTGGCAGGCCTTGGCAGGCTGAGCAACCCTGGAGAGAGGGTTGCCTCAGCCTTGGCGCAAAAGGATTGCTGCCAGCTCCCTTGAGCAGTCGAGCATTAACACTGCCACTCTGTGCTGGCACATGGCACCGAAAGCACTGCTGCGGCTTCCTTCGGACAATGCTAGCTCAGCAAAGATGATCTCCACCAGTTGGTATGAAGAAGATTTGACGTCAAGGAGCCATTACCTCTGACTTCGATGCAGAGATGGAGCACCTGTCTCAAAGAAGGGGAGAGAGGTGCTCCTTTCCCTGCTGGCTCAGCCATGGTGGCTGTTGGCAACAAATCCAAGGACTGCCTAGATCCAGAAGTCAGGGTGGCCCCTTCAGCCAAGTGAGGGAGAGTGCAGGGCACACAAATCGGTCATTTATCATGAGCACTAAAACCACTTTAAATAAAGCTGTGTGTTGATGTTTGTTTATTTATTTATTTAGAGGACTTCTATGCCGCCCCATTCGCCGAAGCCTCGGGGCGGCTCACAATCATAAATTTGGTGTGCCGCTGTGGGTTTGGATCCTTCTACATGGCCTTTCCTCTAGGCTTCTTCGAGCTAGAGTTTGGCTCTCTTCAGTCTTGTATCCTAGGAACTATAAATTAGATGCAGGTAATTTAATGGCAGAACTTCAAGAAACCAGTGAACCTGGGATCTCTAGCGTCCAGGTAACCGAAACGTCTGTGTAGCAGCTGAAGGTTTTATTGTATTTATCTAGTCATTGCTCTCAGCTTAAACTTGAACATGGTTGGGTTGAATGCTGGGAAATGTGACATCCACATTGGCGCAGACTGCAGCAATGTTGTAAGTATGGATTTTGGGTAATGGATGGATTATGTGGAAAGGGCTTTAGTTCCTTTATTTTCTTTGGGCTAAGCCGATTCAAAATGCAGTTCTCAACCTCATTGAAAAGCTAGATGCTAATAAATTATTAGGCCCAGATAGTATTGTTCTTAGCGTACTGAAAGAAGAATGAAATTGCTAATCTTGTAATTAAAAAATGTAACGTGCCCCCTGAGATCAAACTCTGTACCAGAAGACTGGAAAAAGGACAGTGTAGCATCCCATTTCTTAAACAGATCCAAGGCAGATTTGGAAAATTACAGGCTGATTAAGGGGCTGCAATGACGATACCCCCCGCCCCCCCGGGAAAGGCTACAGTAGCTGGGACTGGTTGCTCGGGAGACGTGATGAAGGTGCACAGGACGAACTTCGTTCTCTTTCGCAGCTGCAGAGCCCGAGGCGCCCATCCTGAGGCCGAGGGGCGGGAGAGTTGGGGCAGAGCCGAGGAGGGGCCGCACAGAACGAGACAGATCGCTGCCACAGAAAGGGGACCGGTCGAATCCACCGAGGAAGAGGAGGCAGTCCACGCAGCCCCGATCCCGCCAGTCCCCGCTTCCCTCTCCCGGGAAGCCCGGCCGGAACTTTCTCGCGCAAGCTTAATTCCGGAACTCTACGTCGCAGGGCTGGGATGTCTAGCCGAGCCCTTTTCCTGCGACACAATGTTTTGGCCCCCATCCAGAGAGGGAGGAGAACGGACTGCTGCGCCTGCGCAGAATGTGACTAGATTAACTCATGCGCAGTGTTCGCTCCCGCGGTGAGGTAATTATGGCTCCTACGCGGTGTCTGTGGTTTTTGTGCCACTTTGCAGAGAGGCCGCTGCCGGTTTCGGGAACTGACACTGACAACGGCGGAGTCGGCCTCGTTTACCGCACTGTCGTAAATACAGCGGCAGGGCCCCGTTCGCTCCCCCATCGAAGAAACAGAGCTACCAGAATAGCGGCCGCGATGACGTCATCGAACGCCCTCCATGATAGTACTTAGTGGGCGGGGTCGAGGCGAGCCGGGAGCGGCGCGAGGGGCATCTGGCCAATCAGCAAGAGCTTGGAGTGCATCGAGTCGCCTTCGCCGGGGATTGGCGGGGCTTGCGGACGAGCGCCGGGGGCGGAGCGCCGGTCGAGGGACCACCTTGCAAGGCCGTCGTAAGCACCCCCCTCCCCCCCATCGATGCCCCGCCACCGGCCGCACCGCGGGAGCGTCGTGCGGGCCGGAGCACGCGCGGCCGAGCCAGTGCGGGCTGTGCCGAGGGAGGCCGCCAGCCCCGCCGGTCTTGGCACGGGGGGCTTGCAGGGGGGGCTTGCAAATGTCCCAGAGCATTTCCCCCGTGCTGGAAAGAGCCCCTTCTGCCCCGCGCATATCTCGGGCGGAATTGCAGAACTGGCCCACGTACCGCAGGAGTGCGATTTGCCCTCCCTGGTAGCACCGTGGGCCCGCCGGCTGCTTCCAGGCAGGGCCCGCGGCGCTGTTAGTCCAAATGCACGCTGCAGCCATTCTGGCATTTTCTCCGCAACGACTTTTCCGAGTTAAAAAAGAGGGAAGAACCCGCGGGGAAACATGGGAGGGTTTGGAGGGGGAGACAGCAATGGCATCTAGACCCCATCAGTGTCTGTGGACAAGGCAGGGCGACGGTTTGATGAAAGCCCCATCCAGAAGCAGCCATGAAAGGGCGAGTCCCGCAGGATGCGTATTAGACTGCCTCTAAAGCTCGTCTTGTCTCGGAATCTGCCTGTAGCCCATTCCTAGTCTAGAGATTCAGAGCAGGTTATGTTTCCAAAGCGTTTCCTCCATGCTCCTGTCCTGCTTTATTTTTTTCCTACTTCTTGCATTACTGTATTGCAAAGCGCTGAAATTCTCTGAGTGGTTTACAAACATCAACAACTTTTAAAATGCACTGTTGTACATAATTTAAAAGCTATTTACGTGCTAGTGTATAAACATGTATTGGCTGGGGTATGCTAGGAGTCTTCCAACCCATCTGGAACTCTGCTTTTGGCCAAGCATTTCTAATTAGCCACGTACTTTACATTCTGTTGCAACTGTTAGAGGTGGGTTCTTCTTATTCCCATTTGGAGATGGCTGAAAAAGGGACTTGCCCACAAGCACAGAAAGTCCTCACAGAGGAGAGAATTAAATTTACGTCTTTAGTGCTCCACGATGGTCTGTTTCTTAAATGTAAAAATGGGGGCAGGGTAGTCCACTTTTAAGAGCCGAATCTAGCATAACTATCTGGGGTACCATACTGACTCCCAACCTGTTTTCAGCTCTTCATTGTAGACCTCCAGGCGAATGACATGTTTTCTGCACACCCTTCTTAGTATGTACTCTGAGGCCCTTTAGCCGCTGACTTGCTCCTGTATTTCTAACCTTATCCAAGGGAAATAGGAAGGGAGGGAGACTTGCTTCACTCAGGAAACCAATGGCGCCCTTTGCTTCCTCCAGCTGTTTAAGGTCTCCACGCTGCAGCTTGGCCTTCCATCAACGGTGGTGCTCCAAGCCACCAGAAAATCTCTCTCTCCCATAGAGAAGGGCTTGAGGTGTTTTGCTGCAAGGTGTGCTGGGAGGAAGATGTGCCTTGCTGGTAGAGCAGGGCTGTTGGAACTCAGGCCCATGGGCCAAATCCACTCTGTGGAGTCCACCAGATCCCCCACCACCACCACGCCAGTTCCCCCAGCTGCTGATCACCTGGTAGTTTGGCATACTGATCCCCATTTTAACAGGCTGAAACGTCTCTTCTAAGGCTGAGCTGCTGGCAGAAAGAGCTTTAAACCGCAATATGCTGAGGCTTTTAGCATTTTGGACTTGATCATTTTTGCCTTTGTCCCACTGCCTACTGGAATGTTGCCCCCAGAGTGTCTCTGGTATTATTGAATTACGAAAGGAATCGAATGCCCCTGCTGTCGAAGGCCTGACTTTCCATCTTTGGGTTTTCCGCTTAAAAGACTAGCAGGCAGCAGCATTCGCCTGCCAGCCTGCATAGAGGCTGAGCATAAGTTCTGGGCACAGGACAACGGTTTCCTCTGCAGCACTGAGTGCTGCTTTTACATGGCAAGGAAGAGGAGGGCTGCTGGTCCTCCCGGCAGGCAAGGGGGCTTCCTGGAACACCCAGGAAGAAAATGCAGCTGCCCAAGCTGTGGACAGGAAGAAGGGTTCTTTCTAGAGGCGTTGAAAAGGATGAGAAGAGCCAGCAAGCAAGAAGCAGTGCTCCAGTCATCCAAATAATCCTCTCCCAAGTGCTTCTCCCCCGCCCCCCAGGGATGTTGTCATACATCTCATCTCTCTCCTGTTCTCATTCTGCCACTCCTCCTCGCCCCCAGCAGCTGTGAGCCTGCGACTCAAACAGCAGGTGACATATGCCGTTTTAATATTTTTCTCTTCCCCAAAGCCCCTTTCTTCCAAAGCTCTTGATCACGTGAAAAATGCAGGAAGCAGCCATGGCCGAGGAGGCAGGAGAGGAGGAAAATTCAGGCTGCAGAAGGTTTTCCCTTAGCTTTGTGGAACTGACAGGATTGGGGGCTGCAGCAGAGATGGAACTTGCCCCAGAAAGCAACGATCATGCCCCGTTTGCTCGTGCGCTGCTTGGCCCAGGAGGGCTCTTCCGGTCCCCAGTAGTCACGGGTGCTGGATTGTCCCGGGGTTCTTGCACTTCCGGCGAGACCCAGGCAGAGATGGGCTGAAAGCCGTTTGGCAGGGCTGCGTGGCCAGGGGCTGGCGAGGCAAACAGTTGCGAGCCCGTGCCTGCCCCTCCCCTGGGCTCGGTGTGCCGGAAGGAAGCGGAAGCAGGAGGGGTGGACGGGGCTGAGACTGGCTTGGTGTCCTGCCATCTTTGCTTGCCCTCGGGTGGATCGTCAGAAGAGTGCACAGCCAAGAGCTACACGACCTGCCACAGTGGACGTGTCGCTCTGCAAGGTGCCACAGGATTCTTTGCTGCCTCACTGAAAGACGAACACCGGCCGTCCTGGGGAAATGGTGCCGAGAAGGCGCTTGCTCTGCCTTTCTTTCTTCGGCGCCACCCCCTTTTCTGCCTTCAGGTGGAATGACTGGAAGTGGCAGCAAAGACTTCCTGCAGGTGCACTCAGTCCCTGAAGTCACAGCAGGGGCGGGCTGCTCTCGGGGAGGGGGAGCCGAGATGGAGGAAGGAGGTGCTCATGCCCTGCAGGTCATTTGGGAGAAAAAAATAGCCCTTTGCAAGAGCATCTGGTGGTGTGGGAGCGGCGCTTTGCACCCATCAGCAGAACAGGGGTCTGTTGGACTCCACACCTCTTGCATGTGTGAGTCCACGATTCAGCAGCAGTCGCTGCAGAGGTATGTCTAGCTCGACACCGGCAGTGTGGGGGCTGCTCCCCTGCCCCCCACTCTGGGCCAAATGCTGGCAGTGGCGAGGCGGAGGAGGAGCTGGGGTGCGTAGCCCACGTGCCCCCGGCTGCCGCCTGCAAAGGAAGCGGGTGGGGGCCACACTGGGAAAGAGAAGGAGAGGGCCTGCAGCTGAGGGCGGTGGGGAGGCAGACTCTCTGTGGGGCGGGCATGGCACTGGCCTGCTTGCTTTGTCCAGGGGGGCAGATTAGTTGGGATCCTCCTCCTCCTCAAAGCCCAGCACTGGCAAAATTAGGTCATCGAGGATTTTTTTCCTTGTGGGTGCCCTACAAAGGTTCCCCCGTTGATTTAGCTCCCTTGCTGCAAATTTAGCCTGTGAAAAGCAAAGGTGCAAATCTAACTGGTATAAAAGCGAAGCACCGGCCTGGAAACCAACCCCTCCCTAGCGAGAGCACATCTGCACGAGGGGGAGATACTCTTTTGCCATGGGGTGGATTGCAACGTAGAGGCTGCGGAAAGCACTCCCCTGCAAAGATGATGCGGAATTGTATTTTCAGCACCAAAAATGTGGGGTAAAATTGGGGCAAAGCAGCAGCTGAGAATAATCTTGCAGTGTTCTAGATTCCAGAGAAGTTTGTGCCATCTCGGTTGCATTAATCTATTTATACCTAAGATAAAACAAATATATGAAGGCTGGAAAGAGCTACTAAAGAGATTTGCGGGCTGGGCGAGGGTTATGATAAAGATCAGACCTGGCTGCGGGTCGAACCTCAGCATTTTCAACAACCGGCCTGGTGTGGAGCTGGAGTTACACAGAGCAGGCCTGGTGTGGGCACTCCCTCGTGCTGTGTGATGCTCTGGGCAGCTTTTCCTTCCATGCAAGGACCGGGGAAGGAATCTGTTGGATTAAGGAATGCCGATGTATTTATTTGATCAAGAAAAGTTTTCCCGGGCATGTGGGGTTCTTGTTTGGCTTCATAAGAACCAAGCAAACAGTCGCAGTCTTCTTGCTTTTACAGCTTGGCCACAGATTCTTGGGACGGGACGGGACGGGACGGGACGGGCTGGGCTCACCCCTCTTCTGAGCGACCACCGCTGGGGAGACGGAGCCAGTCTGACCCAGGAGCGAGCAGCTGTCAGTCAAAGCTGGCTGCACGGCCTCACCGCACGGTTATCTGCAGGACGCACACCTTTGAGCGAGAAGAAAGGCTGTGGGCACCCACCTGATGAAGCAGCACCAAGCTCTGAAGTGGGCGCTTCTCTGGTGTCTGCGCCAGCAAGCGGGGCGGCTGCGGGGAGAGGCCCTGCGCACTGCCGGCGAGGCCCCCGCCCCTTGAAGCGCTTCTGGCTGCTTCCTCGGTCAGAGCGTTCCCGTTCTGGCAAGAATCGCTTGGCCTGTGCTTTGCGCCATCCTGGTGCCAGGCGCTCACCCCCCGCAGAAGCCAGCCGTGAGTCCGAGGGGACCTCCGCCAGTTCACCTGCGCTGGTCTTCTGTGCCCACGCCAGTGCTGTCGGGGTGCGCGGTGGGAGCCGCCCGGGCCCCAGCGCCGTGTGTGGGCCGGGGCAGCGCATCCGTTCACAGTCACTAACGGCTTTCCCCAAGCGGACGCTGGATGTGCTGGAGCATAACGGGCAGCATGGCTCGGCCCGTGGTTCAGGAGGACACCAGGCTGGGGAGCCCCTCTAGGCAGGGGCTGGTCCCACGAACCGGACTTGCAATTCAGCCGGCCCTGGGGGGGGGCGGCTGGCTGTGGGGGGCAGTGAATCACTCCCACCACTGTTCTCAGCAATCTAGTCAGTGGCGCGGAACAAAAGGATGGCCGGGAGCCTTCAGCAACGGTTGGATGTCAGTCCTGGGGGTGAGGGTCCTGCTCGCAGGTGTCCGGTTCTCCAACCCGTGCGCACCGTGGGCCTGAAGATGTGCGATCTGCTGAGCATGAGCAGCCGGAGGGGCCTCTTCCAGCACCCGCAGCCTGGCAGCCAGAAGCCACCTCTCGGAGCGCTTCCCCGCCTCCGGTCTCTGCAGTCTGGAGCGCCACAGCGAGGAGGAACGAGGCAGGAGCCGTGTGCAGGGGAAGGTCACCCTGGCCATGCCCAGCGCCTTAAGAATGGTGCTGAGCCCGAGTCCCCGGCACAGCCTGTTTGGACGCTGGCCACCGTGGGCGTTGTTGCTTCAGCAGGAAGGAAGGGGCCTGTTTTGCCCGCCCTCCCCTTCACCTTTTCCGCAAGGATTCTCCCCTTGGTGTGAGCTGGCAGAGGAGCTGCAGAGTCCAGGTCTGGCTGCTGGGACCTCCGCGAGAAAAGCCGGGTCTCTGAACTAGAAAAGCACACGTCAGCCGGCAGCATCCAGGCGAGCTGCTGAATTTGGCGGGGGAAGCAAAGGATTAGCCGGGAGGCAGCTGCCCTCGCCCGTCCCGTCCCGTGGCTCATGTGTCAGCGGGGCCTCCTGCCCCGCCAGCGTTTCCACTTCAGCTGGCCACTCGCCGGGGTTGTGCTGCCATCAGCAGATGCTTATCAGTTCAGCCTGACACTCGGAGCGGCTCCGTGACCGGCCTGTCTGCGAAGGTGGCGCCCGACAGTGATCCGCAAGGGCGGGAGAGGAGCTGGCAGCTGCGCCACTGGCATTCCAGAGGAGGGAGCGGCAGGCCCCGGAGCCCCTTAGCGTGCCCCCGCCCCCCGAGATGCCGCTGAGCGACCTCCAACCCCAGGACCGTTTGCAGTTGAGAACCTTGACTGCCACAAGCTAAGCCAAGCCAAGCCAAGCCAAGCCAAGCCAAGCCAAGCCCACCCCTCCTTCCCGGCTGCTCTTCGTGCCAGGCAGGGTGAAGCCTTCTGTGTGGGTCCTGGGCAAGGTCATATAAACCGTGGAGACGGAGGAAGGGAAGCCTGCCGGTCCTGCCCCATCTGGATGGGAATGGGAGGGGGGAGCGGCTCCCAGCACGGGTCTAGTTGGGCCGTGGCCGAGCGAGCGCGAGGGCGAGGAAGTGGCGAGGAGGATGGCCGGCCTGCCTGCCTGCCTGCCTGCCTCCTGCACGTGGCCCGGCTGCTTCGCAGGATACGGGACCTGCTGGCAGGGGTGCTGAGCGGGAAGGCCTGCCGAGGGAGGGGGCACTGGGAATATCTTGCTCAGCTCGAGCAGGCACATCCCGGGCACTTTCATCTTTGCGACCAGGGGAGGCCAAAACTAGTTGTGAGGCGCGCAGAGAGGAAGGCTGCGGTGTACCTCCGAAGCATCCAGAGCTCACGAAGGATCAGAAATTGAAAAGGGTACCTCAGTGGGCGGGAAGGATGGGAAAGTCTTGGGAGGGCCGGCGCCAGGGGCCGGCCCTGCTGGGCACCCGCCGCGGGGCTGCATCCTGCCTACCGGGGGCCTGCTGGCACAAGTCTCCAGAGCAGCTTCTCCTCCCTGCGGCCCAGCCAAGGAGCGGCACCGGGGTGCCTTGCCTCCTGCCCCACCAGCTCACTGCCCATCAAGCCAGCAAGGCTTGCGTGTGAAGAGGCCCGTGGCGGAAAAGCTGACTCACTGGGGGAAGAGGCCCCGAAACTGGCCCCGGCTCCCGCGCAAGTTCCAGCAGCCCCCCTTCCGTGTTGCAGCCGCTCTGCCGTGCTTCTAGAGGAGCACTAGCAAAAGCCCAGGCACAGCCGCCGCCTCCGGCCCGATGCACAAGTCCTGATCCTGGGAGCAGTCTAGGGAAGCTCTCCCCCCGGAGGAAGGTCCACCCTTTTCTCGGGGGGTGATCTGGAAGCACTTCAGGGTGGGCCTGGCTGCCCACTTTATTGCCTTGCTTGGCACGGGCCTCTCCTACAGCCACTTCTCCCCCCTCCCCCCCAAGCAGCAGCCCGGGTGAGCAGCCGCAGCGCTTGGGACCACTGGTCCCACTGCTGTCCCCAGCCGCACCACGTGCCCAAGTCCTCCACCGTGCTGGCCTTCCTGGGCGACCAGTGCTGCCACGCGAGCTGCAGCCGCCCCGGCGGGGTATCACGGAGCCATGCGGAGCACCGGCCCTGTCGATGCGGCTTGCCCAGGCCAGACTCCCAGGACAGCTGGCAGGAGATAAGGCCACTGGGAAAAGAATGTGCTTCGAGGGAGCGAGGGCCGGAGCCACCCTCACCCAGCAAGGCCTCCTGGTCCCCGGAAGCCATGCTTTGCTGTGGATCTTGGAAGTGCCACGGGAATGGCGCTAACTTCCCCGCGGTTCCTTTGGTATGACAGGGCGCCGGCCCTGGTGAGGGCTTCCCTGGAGCACCGCAGCATTTCAAGGCACGTGGCTGAAGAGGGCAGCCTCTCGGTGCTCACGCGGCTCTTCTGCGCACCCCTGCCCGCCCAGGTGCGGCTGGCAGTCCCCTCCTTCCGCGTCTCTCGCCACTGGCTTTGTTCTGGCGGGAGCGGGAGCAGGTTCCGGAGCGTCTAAGGAAAACGGGAATGTCTCTGTCTGCTCCCGGTTGTGAAACATACCACGAGAAAGAGGTTCCTGGTTGGCAAATTTAACTCATGGGCAGGCCTAAAGAAAGATCTGTTTGCGTTCCCCGCAGAATTTGCAAACGTTCTCGACGGGTGGTGGGGAGGGGGAGGAATGAGTGGGTGTCTCTTAAGGTCACAAATTGCCTGGAATTTGTGGTTAGTGCAAGAGTGAGTGTTGGCACCTCGGTTTGCCTTCCGTCGGGTCCTCGTTACTCTTCTTTTGGCTTCTCCATGCTCAGGAACATCTCTGCTTTGCTGGCCTGGAGCTCCGAGTCGCTGAGGTGCTTCTTCTCCCGGCCTTGCTCGGCTTTTGTCCTCGTCCAGGACGGGGAGCGCAGGTAGCCGGCCCGGGCATTCGGATGCGGGTGTGGGTGCAGACCTGTGCCGAGACAGAGAGAAGCGGGCCTGGCACGTAGAGCTGGCTGAGCTCCCTCCTAGCTCCCCTCTTCCCTTACCGTTTTTGGCGAGAAGCCATTCGAGGGCAAACGGCACCCTTCCCCATGGCCAAGAAGGCAGGGGGTGCCTTGCTGCCTGGCTTCCTCCCTTCCCCCGCTTTGTTTCCATTTAGCAAGGCAGCCGGATGGGCCCCCCTTCCAAGCATTTCTCCTGGGCGAGGGGGCCCCTGGATGAGGGGCACCCTGCTCCCCAAAGCGCCAGGCGTGCCCCTTCCGTGGATCGCGCTCCCCGGGAAAAGGAGCGTTGCGAGGCCACCGAGTGCCAGGAGAAGCGGCCGCATCGGCCGCCTCCCTTTCTTTTGTCTGCCCCGAATCTAGATTCTTCCCAGTCAATTTAAATTACGTCATCGAGTTATTCTAATTATTGGTGAGGAGGCGGCATGGCCAAGCGAGAGCAAAGGGAGTCCGTGCCGGGCCTCTGCCCTGAGCCCCGAGAGCCTCCTGGCTGCAGAGGGGGGACCCTGGGGGCTGGGGGACAGCAGCCGGCCGGCGGGAGCTCTGCGTGGGCCAGCGCCAGCGGTCGGCAGGGAGCCGCGGACAGGAGCGCACGGCTGCGCCAGCCCACCCAAGGCGTGCCCAGCCGGTCGGGGTGCCTGCTGGAGGGGCAGCTCCCGGCGCCGGTCCTCGGGGGTGGGGCTGCGTACAGGAACCTCCCTTGCCGGATCGGGACCGCAGTCGCATCCTTCCCCCGCCGCAGCCGGGGGTGGGCAGATACCGAGGGCGAGGAGATGCGCATCTGTGAAAGGCCGGGGGTGGGGGGGGCTTGATCAGAGGGCAGCCCCCCACTCTGCTCCCTTCTTCCCATGCTGGAGGTGGCTGGTCCACCCACTGGGGCCGGGAAGTCCCACTGGAGTCCCGGGCTGCCTCCCCGCCGGCTGGGCTGAGGACGTGTGGAAGGGGCCTCGTTAATTCCACTCACATTTTCACACCGCGGATGCAATTTGCATTTTCGCTCCATCTGTCACTGGGCTGCAGCTGCCTCCCCTCCCCTCCCCTCCCCTCCCCTCCCGTCCCCCTTCAGGAGGCGCCGGGGCAGCGCCCCCGCCCTGCCTGCTCTGCACACCACAGGGGTGGAGGGAGGAGATGCGGGTGCGCAGGGGGCTGGGATCCCCGGAGCACACGCACCACCCGCTGGCGCCTCCCTGCAGCCAGCCTCACGCGTCCTCTGAGCAGGAGGGAGGAGGGAGGGCCTCTGGCCCCAGAGAGCAGGAGAGCGCTGGCTGCACCTGCCTGCTCAGTTGACTGTATTGCGCAGCACTGCCACCCCCCCCAGCGTCAGTTCCTAATTATTAGGTGGGGGATGGGATGATTGACTCCGCTGACCTTTCTCCCTCGGCTCTGCTGCTGGGAGAGATGGGGAGCCAGCCCCGCGCCCCAAGGGCCGCGGCATCGCCTGCCCCGGTCGCTCTGTGCCGGCCTCGCATGAGACACGGAAGGCCTGGCACTGTGAGTGGGTCTCTCGTGGACTCGCTTGTGTGCACTGATGCCGGCACTGAAGAAAAGGGTTTGGGCATTAGATGCACGACCCTTTTGAAAAATGGAGGGCGCCTGGATAAAGGAAAGGTTTCCAGTTCGCGTGGCGAAACTTCCAGGTTTGTGCGCTGTCAGCTGTGTGGGGTGCAGGTCTGTCATTTGGCTTTTCCACTTCTTGCCGTTTTTGAAATGTTTTTTAAAAGCCGGGGAGGGTAATGATCAGCATTAGAACAGAAGTGCTAAGATCTGCTGAATGTATGCCGTTTAACCCCAGGCTCCCAAAGCCAGCTTGCCAGCGAAGGCTTTGATTCTCCAGCAGGCTGCAGAGAGGGGTCCCCAGGGCTTGGGCGTCCCCAGGGCGCCGTGCTTCAGGGAAGCCCCAAGGGCAACTGGTCTTTGGGGCTCGGGCCCCGCCTGCCGCTGGTTGGAGCGACGTGTGGGCCAGCCTGTCTGAGCACCTGCTCCAGCTCTCCCTGCAGCAAACCTGGCTTGGCCCAGAGCTGAGCAGACCCCTCCTGCGGCAGGGACCTGCCCGCCAGGCCTCACCGTACGTCTCCTTGACCCCACAGTTCCCCACAGTGGGCTGCCACACTCACCGGCGGAGGACTCATTGCAGGCGTTCTCATCGTCCGAGTCGGCAAAGACTTCCGCCAGCTCCTGGTCAGACATGTCTGTCAGCTCCGTGAGGTCCAGCAGGTCGAAGTGCACCTCCAGGGAGGAGACGCTGCTCAGAGGCTCTGCGGAGGCAAAGCAAGGCCAGTGACCGCGCATGGTGCCCGTCAGGGGGGTGAGCTGTCGTGGGCGCAGGAGGCCTCGCCGGCTGACGCTCGGTGCGTGCTCGTGGGGGCCTTTTGCGTTGTGGCCCCATCACTTTATGCGGGCCGGGAGCTCTGGTCAGAACTCACATTGATCCCGCACGAGCAAAGCGCAGCAGTCCCCTGCCTCGGTTTGCCGAGGGAACGTGGGCGAGGGGTCAGGCTGCAGTGCCAGTGAAGAGCTGCAGGGCTGCGGGGGCCCAGTGGCAGGACGCCCTTTGGCACGCGGTGCCGCCCTGGGCATCCCAAGCTCACCGGGCGATGGGGCAGTCCCTTTTTCGGCAGGCCCCTCGAGGGCTGACGGGAGCAGGCCAGATCAGCAAGTCCGCCGCCCGCCATAACGCCAGGTTCTTTGCGGCAAGGCCCGAACGCCTGCGCTCGGAAGAGGTGCGAGGGTGTCCGTCATGCGCGTTCCCAGACGGAAACAGGCCGGCAGCCTCTGGCAGTGTAGCCAGACGTGCCGGGAACCGTGCCTTAGACTGGGCGCTGAATCAAGGGCGGGTGGACTTGTCTCTGTTCCCCCTTCCTTTCCCAGCATTTGGGTAGCCTCACGTGCTTCTTACAACTGTGTTTTGTGCAGCTGCAGGGCGCACACCCAGGCTCCCGAAGGAGCTGCCCCTTCCCCCGGGATCGTACTCACGCCTGCGCTCCGCCACCTGCAGCAGCCCTGAGGTGGGGATCGGGATGCCGCCTTCCTCCTCAGCCGGCGGGCCGTGGGACTCCTCCGCCAAGCCATGTGCCGGGACGATGAGGGGCGAGGGCCGCTCCAGCGGTGGGGCCTCTTTCATCAGCTCTGAAATTGCAACGTGCTGGTGAGCGCTGGGCTGGTGGCGCCCGGAGCAGCCTCTCAGGGTCCTCCCCGGCGTGCCCGCGGCACGCCGTCCCTCCGCTCCCGTGGCCGTGCTAGCCCTGCTGGGCAACACAGGCACCTTTCCCCCTCCGGGCAGCCGGCCGACTCTGCTCCCCAGAAGGAAAGCACATCCGCACAGTCCTGCCGCATCCTCGTGCAGCTTCCTCCTCAGATGCCCCCCCCGAACCGAGGGCTGGGGGGTGCTCCGAACAGCCAGCCCCACTGAGACACCGGCAGTGGTGCCGCATCCGAAGCCGGGCGGACAAAGAGGCTGCGTTAGACAGCCTCTCTTTCCTGGCCCTTTTCTCTCTCGGACGGGCTTTGGCCCCCGCGCAGATCTGCCGGCTAAGCAGGAAACGGGCCCTGCCTTAAGCGCCAGGGAAGGGCTGGGGTGTCGAGCGGTTTGTCTTGTCTGCCGGGCAGGAAGGCGGGACCTGCGCTGCCTCCTGGGCTCCGCAGGGATGGGTACCAAGCACCTGAGGCACCGCTTGGAGGAGCCGGCCCTTTGTGTCTGCAGAGACAAAAGGCCGGCCTGTTTCGGAGCAGGCGGGTGAGGCAGAACAAAGGCGAGTCTGTGTCTGCCGGGAGGAAGATGCCGCTTGGGCTGCAGCCTGGCGGGGCCACGTAGCTCGAGCATTTGCCCCGCACGGCCGCCGGGGCTGCACGTACAGCACGGCCGATGCGTGGCAGGGCGGTGTCCGAGGGGGTGGCAGCGAGTGCCCACGGCAGCTGCGGGGCCCGCTGGGGCTCGCCTTGCTCCCCTGCACCCCCGCTGTGCGGCCAGAATGTCCCCGAGGGCCCCGCACACGCTTGCTCGGCACGCTGGCATCCTCCACCCGGGAAGCCACTGGGGCCCGTGCAGAGCCCTGCGCAGAGCCGGCCCTGGCAGCCACGTGGTGGCACCAAGCAGGAGGGCCCGGCAACCCTGGCAGGACCAGCTCCGAGCCTTCCCCAGCTGGGCAGTGGCTCATGCCTCCCCCAGCCAGCCCCGCCTTGGGGAATGGGGGCGCTGCGGCCACCACCCCAGGTCGGGGAAGGCCCGGGTCGACCCTGCCCCACCTCTGGGGGCCTGCCGGATGCTCTGATATGACAGCAGCGTGGCCCAGTGCGGGCCATTTGGGCTGCTGCGCCCTGTCCCACCGGTCTCCACCTCTCACATGCGCGCTCCCCCCTCGCAGCACTCTTGGCTCCGTGGAGGCCGTCTCCCTGCCGTCCGTTTTCCACTGTGGCCTGTTGAGGGAGGCGCACGGTGCTGGGAGCCCCGAGCCTGGGAAACGGCGCTCTGGCCCCTCTGTCGTGCCGGGCCGCACATCCCGCTCCGGCCCTGGGCCGGCGTTCAAGCGGCCTGCACGCTGCGAGGGTGACAGGCAGGCGCTCCCCAGCCCTGGCAGCCCTCATTAGTGAGCAGGGGTCGGGGTGGCTTTCTAGCGCACCCATGCGGAAAACGAACGGGCACTTCCAGAAGAATGTTTCCAGCGAATGTGAACGCGCCTGGCCTGCTTCCCGGCAAGAGCTGATGTGCCAGGAAGGCCCTTGGCTTCGCTGGCCCCCGTTTCTGTATTCCCCCGTCGCTCGTATCCCTTCTCCCCACAAAGGCACCCTTCTCTGGCCAATGTGCCAGCATCCTGACTTAACGGCCTCCTGAGCACACCCATGCTTGGAAACCTGTGGGGCGCGCCTGAGCATTGCAGTGGCTGTCCATCGAGCGAGCAGGAGGGAGCCGTGGGGGGGGGCTTTTTACTCCTTGGCTGGTGGGGCTTGGCTGTAAGAAGGCGCTCTCTGCACTGTCTCCTCCTGTGGCATCCCCACTCCAGCGCTGGATCCTGCCCCACGCCTCTGCCCCACATTGTTCCAGGCGCTGCGCCTGCAGCATGGCTCCTCTCGCACCGGGCCGATGCGGATGCTCATTGCCCGACTCTGCAACACGCACGTGGGTGTGTTGCCGCTGCCAGCCAAAGCGGAGGCCACCTGCCCTGGCCCACCGCCATGATGCCGAAACCGCCCGGCTCGACCGAGCCCCCTTCTCCGTGCTCGCAGACCCCCACTAGCTGGGTCTGCACAGTGTTCTGCCTCCGAGCGCATTCAGCCATGGGAACCGGCTCTCCAGGAATCACAGCGGCATTAAGGCGTGCCTGTCATCGGCTCAGCTTTAGAAACAAACCCGTCTCCTGAATCCTATTCCCAGTGGAGGACAGTCAGTCGGCTCCGTTCCACGCTGTGTGTCTCCCCGGCCCCAGGCAGGCCTGTCTTTGACCTTTTCGAACACCATCACGTTTTTGAAAACCACATCCTGAAAAATGGTGCACCCCACGAAGGAGCCACAAAGCAGAAGCTGCGAGAAAGGAGAGGCGGATGCGATGAGGTTGCGGTACCTTGTTCTTATCCCTGGATGGTCAAAGCAGGGTCTGGACGGTGCAGCCCTGCCAGACTCACGGGGGGCATGAGCCCAGGGGGGCTTCCCTGCCGCCCTCCCAGAAGCCCCAGCACAGCAGGGCGTCACTCCAGGGCTGGGGCCGGGCCGCTGCGGCCTTTCCTGCGTGGCGTCATCCCTGCATCCACGGCGCTTCTTGCCAGGGAACCCTCTCCTGTGCCCTCCGCCCCGGATGCTTCGTTGAATATGCCGTCGCCTAACTCGTGTGTGTTCGCGTATTGCACGTGTGGCTTCTTTATTTCTAGCGGCCCACCAGGCGGCAGACGGGCCGCTTCTTTGGACAAGCACGAGGTGGACCCTTCGGTTGCGCTTCCTTTCCCTTTCTGGCAACAACATTGCAGGTCAGTTGAAAAATGCATCCTGATGTGCCCTGTCCTTGTGCTCCCCCCCTGCAAAAAATGAGTGGGGCTCCTTCCCCTGCCTGCCCCCCCCACCCCCATATTGCAAGTGAGATGATGAGACGCTCAGGGCAGGGACTGAAACGCTCCGGCTTTGCAACAGGCCGTGCACAAGTCAGCCTTCCTCAATGTGCTGCCCTCCAGATGCGTGGGACCACAGTTCACATTGCTTCTGGATGGGAATGATGGGAATTGCGGCCCAACATAGCTCAAGAACATGCAGTTGGAGAAGGCTGATGTAACAGAGGACGGGGCTGGAGACCCTGGCGGACGAACTGCAGCAGTAAAGCAGGTCGTGGACTCCGGTCAGTTCCAGGGGTTCTGGGTTTGGCTTCTCCCGGTGCTGCTGTCGGTCCGTGTGCCGTTTGCGGCACCTTCCCTGGGACGCGATCTGGGCTCTGCCTTTTGCCGAAGGAAGGTCTCTGTGGAGGAAGACCTCGCCAGGGTGGGAGGCACGCTCCTGCCTGACATACCTCACCTTGCAGCACGCAGCAGAGGGCTGGGAAAGCGGGGGCGCGAAGCCCACTCCCACCAGATCCGCGGGTGGTACAGATCCAGCAGAAATCTGTACGCTACCTGTTGGGAGTGCCGAGAGGGAGGCCGAGTCCCAGAGCAGGAAGTCAGCCTGCCTTTCCAGGCCCTTCCCTGGATGTGGCACAAGACCTGGCTGGTCGTCACGGTCTGAGCTCAGAACGTGGGTGTGTTTTCAGTGCAGAAACCCAGCCGAGTCCTGGATGCCAAGCCAGTCTCTCTCCCCTCAAGCGCCAAAAGCAGAAAGCAGTGAGCGCGTGTGGGGTGGGGGTGGGGGGCCACCCATGGGAAGACCTGAGTTGGAAGAGCTGCTGGTGCTGTGCCTCTTTTGCCTCTGCTTCGCAACACCTTTCCAGCCGGCCCCCCCCTCGGGTCGCGTCTGCTCGGCATGCAGCGCCATCCTCCCCCCTCCCCGTGCTTCAGCAGCATCTGTGCACTCAAAAAAACGGGAAGGGACGAGAAACGGGGAGAATCCATAAGCTGCTGACTCGCATGCCATGACATGAGCTTCAGGCCACCGGCACGGCCTGCAAGGCGCAAAGCCGCAAGATGGGGTGCAGCAAAGCGAGCGGGGAGTCGGGTGAAGCGTTTTGATGCCGAAACTGGGAGCCGCCGACGCTGGAAGCGAGACCTTCCTCACAGCCACAAATGTTCAGCGGGAGCTGAAGGGGGGGGGCTCCAGAAGCCCCACCCCCTCCCATTTCAGTCAAGTCATCTCCTTCTGTAACTTTCTAGAGGCAGCTGGATAGGAAGTTGGCATGAAAGAGGGAGGGTGAGCCCCACCCCGGCCCACGTTCACCCCGGCTGTGTTGAGTTGGGAGTGGGAGAAAATCACTCCGCATATGCTCAGAAGCATTCTTCTCACAGCCCTGCTCATGTTTCTGGGTAAGATGTCCCAGTTGGCCCCACAGTTGGTCAGATGAAGCCAGGACTTCAGCTGCGCCGCCCGTCCCTCACACACGTCAGGGTGAGCAGCCCCTCTTCTGGCACCTGCCCACCCTCTTCACTAGGCACTGTCCTGGCACGGCAAGGGGGGCTACCAGCTGCCCCCCCATATCTTCCCACTGGCACGTAAAGCCAGGGAGGCAAAGCACGGGGGCGTTCTCGGCACTGGGCTGCTCTGGCAGGGGGGCTGGGCACGCTTAATGCCCCCCTTCCTACTGCCTGCCAGGCTGCGCATGTGGAGCGATGCCCCCGGAGGCCTCAGTGGGCGATGCTGCCTTCTTCCGACTCGGGCAGGCAGAGGGATCCGCGGGGGGGGGGGGCAACCCCTGCCCTGCCCTGCCCGAGCTCGCTCAGACCCCAGCACCCAAGGGTGCAGACGCTCCCCCACCCAGGCCACCGGCAGCCCCCAGACCGCACCGAAAGCCCCGAACCTCTTGCCGAGCGGCGGGAGGAACCCCTGGCCGCCCCGCATCCGCACGCGCGACGGCGCAGCCACACGTGCCCCGCGCCACGGGCCCGCCGCGGGCATCCCGGGCACACCCCCCGCGCCGGCACGGACACGCCGCCCTCCCCGCTGGCAGCGCCCCCCTGCCCGGCCCTGCCCTGCCCCTCCGCGGGGGCGAGGCGGGCCGCGCGCGGTCCCCGTCCCGGGCAGCCCCGCTTGGGACGCGTCCCGGAGGCTCCGCGCGGGCGGCGGGCGCAGGAGGCGGCAGCGCCG